CTGCGAACTGATGGGTCGCTGGTTTGATTCCCACTCAGGGCACATGCCTGGGTTGCAGGCTGGGTCCCCAGTTAGGGGCGTGCGAGAAGCAACTGATCGATATATCTCTCACACATTGATGTTTCTCTCCCTCTTTTCCCCTCCCCTCTCTCTAAAAGTAAATAAATAAAATCTTTAAAGAAAAAGATTCTTTTGCATTCTGGTTGACCAAGACTCTCAACCATTGTTTGCTATTGAATGGCAGGACCTGGAATCTCAGGTCAAGACCCAGTCCTGCTGGACAATCGTACCACAAGGGTTCAAGAACTCCTCCATGAGTTTTGGGGAGACCCTGAGCCAGGACTTAAAAAAGGTTCTAATAATATAAGGAAGAATTCTGCTACAATGTGTAAATGCATCATTTAACTAATATTATGACTACCTTGAACCATATGGCATCTTGTGGCTATAAAGTATCAGCACAGAAGGCCCAGATTTGCCAAAAAGCAGTAAGGTTTCTTGGGTTCCTGTTGAGCCCAGTAGAAGGAGTCTTACTAGGTTTGTCAAGGAAACTGGATCACACTGTCCAGGATTGGCCAGCCTGCTTGAGGCCTGCAGAGCTGTGGCAGCCAACTGTGAGCTTTTAAAAGAAGCTGAAAAAGTTTTTTTGGGGACAGCTTATCACCATTTACACACCCCACCAAGTGTTGAGCCTGCTAGAGCAAAAAGGAAATTTGTGGCTCACTGCTGGAAGAAGGGGCAGGTATGAAGCAATTCAAAACTCTAAGTTCAACCTTGCCTCCCTTCTCCCAGAGCCTGACTCGGCTGTGCTACTCCATGACTGTGCTGAAATAATTATTGAAATTTATTCTAGCAGAATTGATTTACAGGACCGTCTTCTAGAAGAGGCAGACTGGACTCTATATGCAGATGGAAGCAGTTACATAGACAAAGGAAACAGAAAGGCTGGATATGCAGCTGTGACTTCTGAAGGAATGAATAGTAGAGACCAAGTCCTTATTTCTAAGAGCCTCTGCTCAAAAAGCTGAACTGACTGCATTGACAAAGGCACTGGAATTGTCGCACAAAATGAGAGTGAGTATGTATATCGACTCAAGTTATGCTTTTCCTCATTTTGCATGCACATGGTTCTCTCTGGAAGGAAAGAGGACTATTTACTTCCAAAAAAAAAAAAAGAAATAAAGCATGTAGCAGAAATTTTATAATTATTAGAAGCTGCCCAGTACCTTTACTGATGGCAGTTATGCACGGCCTCAAGAATCAGAAAGAAGACACTGAAGTGGCTAGAGGAAACCATCTGGCTGATGGAGCAGCGGAAGAGGCCACTAAAGGAACATTTAGACTGCCTTTGATACCTGGTCTCAACTTGTCACAATTTGACCCTGAATATTTGACTGCAGACTTGGAGGAAACTAAGAGCTGAGGTTTTAAATCACTTATATTAAACCATGGTACACAGGTCCTAGAATTTCTAAAGCCACGTGTGTCAGAAGAACAATCCTAAGACAGGTCCCCATCAGAAAAAAAGGAAATAACACCAAGGGCAGTGCCTGTTTGAGAACTGGCAAATAGACTCTACCCAGATGCCAAGTGTCCAAGGATGGAAATGTTAGTCTCTGTTGATACCTTTTCAGGATGGGTTAGCCTACTAGAACTGAGAAATCCTTGGAGGTGATGGAAGCCCCACTGAAGAAAATAATTCCTCGAGTGGCCTACCCAGCAGCATCCAAAGCGGTAATGGGCATACTTTTTTTCCCGAAGTTACATGGATGATTAGTATATTTTTAGGAATCAAGTGGAGACTCCACCTGGCATGGAGACCTCAGGCTTCTGGGAAGTTAGAGATGAATCACACCCGGAAGAAAAATGTAGTCAACTACATCAAGAAACTCAGTCTCCATTGGGAGCAAGTATTCCCTATTGCCCTGCTCAGGATAAGGGCGGCTCCTTGAAACGGAATTCAAGTGAGTCCATATGAAATTCTGTACAGGTGACCATTTCAGGTTATGACTGGGATGGGAGATATGTATGTAGATCAAAAAGTGAAGGTAAATAACTACATACAACATTTAAATCAGACCTTAGCTGTGATTAATGACCTTAGCTGTATTAGAGACCTCTCCCTCACACTCTTTTGAGCCTGGATGTAAGATGCTACTCAAGACTTGGAAGACAGGGTCCCCAGAAGCCAGCTAGAAGAAAAGTGGACTGGAACCTACGTCAAGCAAACTTTTATTTTATGTCTTATAGGTGTTTGTAATCCCCTGGAAAGATAATTGGGGACCTATGGTAATTCTAAAGGACAGGGAAAAGTTTTATTTAAATATGGGAATGTGGTCCTAGCTGGAAAATGTGCAGATGTTGTCAACTGCACTGTTTGAAGAATTGCAACACCCAACTAAGGTATCTTACATTGTTTTAGTTTGTAAAATAATCGTTGTTGCATGGGTCACCCGGCCAGCAGTGATCACAGAACGCTGCAGATGGCTCAATGAAAACACGCGAGAAAAAACATGCACAGAGACAAACTAGTTTCTGTGGAGAAGTAGGGATGAAATGGCCACCCCCTCTAGTGAGGAGCGCGCTGATTTACCATCCATACCTGCTTTTATTGGGCTCATTTTGCATAATAATTCAGGTAAAGTACAGTACTCATTAGAGGGAAGTAAGGAATCATAGAAAACAAGGAAATCTGAGGGTCTATTTTGAGTCAGGGTAAAAGAGCTGTAAGACTTCCTCCTAGGACCCTTCTCATTCAACTGAGAGCATTCTAAACAAAGAAGGTTTCACAGTAATTTACATATTCTTTCTTAGGCCTGATTACCCGGGGAATCCGCCCTTTTCAGCACAGAGCTGCACCACCCTGTCATTGTTTCAGGCTTAGGTGGAGCAAGGGAACTAAGGCAACCAAGAGATAAGGAGATTTTCTCCCAGACTATGAGGACTCAGGCTATGTCAAAGCCAAGGAGGGAGGCTCCATCACCCCCTTTTGCTGCAGCCCCCCAAGTCCTTCTTTTGGGGCCCTCCCAAAGTGATCGTGCCTGTCTTAGGTCGTTCCCCCCTTGGGGAATCTTACCCGTCTTTGGCTAACCGACCAAGCTTTTTGAGGCTCAGTTATGAATAAAGCAGCAGAAGCAGCATTCCTGCCTGGGAGATAAGCTTTTGTCTCCTAGCTGGCTTACTGTTCCAGGGGCGTTCCCTTAGCCTTAGCCTAGGTGGGGGTTTCAGCTTCTGATACCAGTCAGGGCGGTTCCCAAAAAATCGTATAGAAATAAGATAATTAAAAACTAACAGCAGGGAATGATAGGAGAATTCAGGAGTTAAAGATTTTAGCCTTACTCGATAGGCTGACGTGACAGGCAGACCGAACACTTTTCCAGTTTCAAGTCAACTGTCAAATGGAACACATCACTTACTGAAGGGCTCTCAGAGCTACATGTTTTTACCTGCATCGTCTCACTGAATTCTCATAACTTCTATGAGGTAAATTCTATTATATCCACATTTACAGATAAGAAAACTAGCTCAGAAATAGCAAACAATTTATCTAAAGAAGACAACTGCAAACATTTTAAAAGCCCTTTCTTTCCGAGGGCTTTACTAGCTTAACCCTCTCAACAACTCTGGCCTAAGGCAAATAAACCATGCACCAGGGATTCATTCCACCAAGGCAGCCTACCCTAGCACAGTGCTATTGAATTAAAAAAATAATGTCAACCATATATGTATTTTAAAACTTTCTAGCAGCCACATTTAAAAAGTGCCGTAAAATGACACAAGTGAAGTTGATAGGGAAAATCTGGAGTTAAAGATTTTAGCTCCAGTCGATAGGCTTAAAGCTGTTACTCCAAGAACTGGAATGCGTGACCTACACAAATACCGGAGGTGGACCGGCAATTCGACTTTTGTGCCCAGGGGATCTGCAAGAGAGGTAGATGGTATCTGAGTCACTGTGCTGTAGAGGGAGGGAATGTCCTGAGGCAGATAAAGAATTGCTGATCAACAAATAAATACTCAGACTGAAACCGATTAACCTTTTTCTCCAAACCCCTTTACCTATTCTTTCTTCTCCTTATAAAAAGGTTGGCTTGAGATGAAATGTTAAGATCTATTGCCAGCATCTGCATAAAGCACCTACAAAAATTCAATCCTTGTCTCTACTTATTGATTCTGGTAGTGTCAGGAAGCATGAACAAACTTTTCTGGTTCCAAAATTAAGTCTAATCGTATGTTTTATTTGACCCAATATATGCCAACTATTATCATTCCAAGAAATAATTTTAAAATTATTGAGATACTTTCCATCATTTTTTCACACTAAGTTCTTGTGTATTTTAGATTACAAAACCTCTGAATTCTAATTAGGCACTTTCAAGGGCTTGGTAAGCACATATGCTAGTGACCACTATAGGAAGCAATTCATTTAGTGTATTTACTAATCCTAATGTGAAAAGCCCAACCCACAGAGCCACCTGTCCCTCCGTTTCAGAGGACACGCAAGAAATAATAATGGTAAAGAATTACTTTGTGACATGGGAAGGGCTAGTTTCACTGTTTCCTGAGGATCTTACACACGTTATATTCTGTAAGAACTTTCTCCAGTGGAGCCCTGCCTCCATGTCAGCCAGCCATTCAGCTGTCCCGCAGAGGGCAGGGGTCGGGCGCCAACCCTCGCGACCCCGTGACTCGCCAACATCCTCATCAATATCTAGAGAGCAGATGCACAAGCTGGAGCGGACTAGCATCTGTCACCTTCGAGCTGATGTGATCAATACGGATAAGAACGTCTCTGGACTCGGGGCCCCTCCCCGACCCCTCCCCATCCACCAGCTCTGACTCCGGCTCGAACTCGTGTTTGGAGGAGCCACCATCCCAAGGAAGCCATTGTGCACTTAGGTTGGCCTGCGACAGAGCGGTCGCTGTAGCCTCCTGACGCGACTCAAGAACGCCAGGGGGCGCCGCTTCCTGTAACCGGGATTTGTCTTCTCTGCGCATGCGCCCCAAGCTCGTCTTGGAGACCGCCCCGGACCCTTCCGTTTTAGTCAGGCTCCAGCGGTTCGCTGCGGTCGGTAAGTTTAGCGCGCTCTCCTTCCCCTCCGCGGCCACTTCCCTCCCAGTTTCGCGGGCCCTCCCCTTTGGCGGAAAACATTTTCCTTCTCACTCCACCCCAGCGCAGACGCAGTGCTGAACCCACAACCGCAGAACAAAGAGCGACGTCCAGAGCCGGAGTCATGGCGGCGACCGAGCCGGGCTTGGCGACCCTTGGGCGTACCGCGATGCTGCGAGAGAAAGAGGAGGGAGCTGGCGGGAGCTCAGACCCTCAGCGTAACCCTGCGGGTTCCTCGTCCACTCCTGAGGCTCCAGAGCCTGCGGCCGAACCCTCCAGCCACAATGCCTCTGTCCCCGAAGCCATTCCCCCAGATCCCGCGGCTGCCTCCGCGGCCCGGGAGCTGCTCCTCGAGCCCCCACCCTTAGGGTCCGCACCGCATGGTGAAGCCGCTCCGTGCCTCCCTCCAGGCCCTGGCGGCTCCCGGCCTGGCCCGGAGACGTTCCGCCAGCGTTTCCGACAGTTCCGCTATCAGGACGCGGCGGGCCCGCGAGAGGCGTTCCGGCAGCTGCGGGAGCTCTCTCGCCAGTGGCTGCGACCCGACATCCGCACGAAGGAGCAGATCGTGGAGATGCTGGTGCAGGAACAGCTGCTCGCTATCATGCCCGAGGCGTTGCGGGCCCGCCGATTGCGCCGCCGCACGGATGTTCGTATCACCGGCTGAGCTGCGGGAGGCCTGGTCCGGGGCGCTCTCTGGACTGGGGGGAGCCATAATCCTGCTCGGAGGCCTGAGCCTGGTTCCTCAATCCGCGTTAATGAAAAACGAGCTTTTTGGCAGCTTGTGTAGTCTGTTGTGGCCCTTTTCGTTCTTTACTGGGTATATTTTCCCGAGCGTATTTCCAGTCTTCTTTCTGGCTTGTGTTGACCCCAAGTTGGGAGCCCATGAGAATAAAGCCTTTGTTTCCTATTCACTTCGCCTTCGTTGGCTTTTGTGGGATCATTTACCTGTTGGCTCGGCCTTGGTATTCGCCACATCTGGGGAATTTCTCTTCTGCACGTTTTCTAGGACCCCATTTGTTTATTTGGAGGATTTAACGAAGTTTCCATGTTTCCCCCTACCTCTCACTAGCTAGAATCTGAACTTGTTTTCCTACATGAAAAAAATAGTGGTGTCTTGGGTTATAGATAGGTAGTTGTAGCCTCTTGCAGGCAAACAGCTGGCTCTGTTAAATGATCGTTTAACTGGCTACCTCTGTACTATCACTGCCGCCAATTTGTGCCACTAGTCTGCCTTTTGGGCAGAGTCCCCAAAGGCCCAAACCATAGGGCTGTTTTAATAAGTTTCAGTGCAGTTACTTATATAGACTAGTCATTTTCTAGCTGTGGTTTAAGCCTCCAGGCTCACCTTCCTTGCCAAATTTGAGGTCTCTAGAAGGATTTAAGCAGAGCTGGTGTGAATTAATGGAATTTATTGTTTTAGAGAGGCCAAGGGAGGGAGAAGGGAAACATCGATGTGAGAGTGTAACCAGATTGGCTGCCTCTTGCGCACACACACCCCCAACGAGGGACATCTTACAACCCAGGCCTGTGCCCTGAACCTGCAACCTTTTTGTTTTGCAGGATGATCCCCAATCCACTCACTGAGCTACACTAGTCAGGGCAACTAAAGAGTTATTTATATTGAGGGAGCTATGCAGAGGTTTTTTTGAGCTATGCATTTTTTGATCGCCAACTGCCTCCATTTATTTATTTATTTATTTTTTAAAGCATAATTGTTTATAAAGGGAAGAGGGAATTTGGGAACAGGGAAGCTCCACTATGATGTATAAGTTTAAATAAAGCCTTGCCATGCCAGGTAGCACAGTTACAGTGTCTCCCTGATAGCCAAGGTTGTAGATTCCATCCCTAGGGACACCTACAAGAATCAATTAGTTGGAAAAATGTCCCCTATACCAAAAGGTTGGGGATTCGACTCCCAGTAAGGGCACACACATAGGTTACCGGTTTGATCCCAGGTCTAGACAAGTACAGGAGGCAACTGACATGATTCTCTCTCCCTCGCTCTAAAATTAATAATTTTTTTTAAAAGATTTTATTTTCAGAGAGAGGAGAAGGGAGGGAGAAAGGGAGAGAAACATTGACTGGTTGCCTCATGTTTGCCCACAAAAGAGGACCCGGCCTGCTCCCAGACATGTGCCCCAACAGGGAACTGAACCAGTGACATTTTAGATTGCAGGCTGGTGCTCAATGTGCTGAGCCATACCAGCCAGGACCAATGAATATTTTTTTATTTAAAAAAAAATCAAACAAATGCATATATAAGTGGAGCAACAAATCAATGTTCCCTTCTCTGAAATTAATAATAAAGCCCACTCTGTTCTTTGAATCTTCAGCCCAAGAGGAGCTAATTGGAATCCACTGGCAGTTGAGATTGGTCTGAGAAGGGCCCTAAGTAGTGGGTGCCATCTCTTACCAGGAAGTCCAAACCTGTCTTCCCTGCACTTTCAATAATCAAAATCTAGTAAGCCTGCAGTTCGTTCACACCACAAAACATGAGCCAGACTGGGCTAGAGGCTTGTGTGGGGCATTTTACTTTTGAGTATTAGACTTAAATGAATTCGAAAGTGTTTTACATACTTTCTTAGGACTTAGGATCTTGAGCTTGCATCCATCTGCCTCCCTCCAGAAGATAAACCTGTTTAGAATGTAAAAAGTAGATGGCCTTTAAAATGGGTTCCCAATCCCTGGGCCCCTAGGGAAGCTCACCTGAGCCCCCCACCTCCCCCCCCCCGGCTCCTGCCCCCGCTGTCTTCCACAAAACCAGTTCCTGGTGCCAAAAAGTTTGGGGACTGCTGCTTTAAAAGACAATGTTTACAGCAAATCAAATAATGTATATTAATAGAGAATTTCATAATTCAATAACATGACAAAATATAGCAACAAAAACCTGTTTTATTTTTTCCAAATACAGATACAGAAGTTTGCATGTTTTGCAAATATTGCTTCAAAGCAACATTTCTATATACAGCGCCTTCTGTTCTAATAGCGCGTAAACATAGATATGTATCCACAGTGCAATGTTGGCTCATCAAGGGTCCACCTTACACATACTCTATTACTTTTTAAAGAAACAAAATGATTAGTCAAACCAGAACTGTTTTTGTCAAGGCAATTTTTTAAAGGTGGATAGTTTTACTCAAAACTTAGGTAGTGTACATATTTCTAAATGGTAACAGTAATATTTGCAAATAACAGTTTCCAGTGCTCCAAATTGGGGTTTACTCAACTTGACCCAGGAATGAGGATGGAGCCCCTCAACATGGCTTTAAATTAGGGAAGTACACTGAGGTTATCAGAACTTGGAGTCATCCCTGCTTCCCTAAGGACAAAAGTCACAATGAGTGAAATGGAATTAGTTCTTCAATTAACAGACAAAACTAGGGTAGTTCAGTTTCTGATTCCATCTTTGAAAAAGACATGAGATTGACAACCTTAAATTACAGCTTCCCAGGGTGTGACGCTCAAACTTATTTTCAGGAAAAAAAAATCAGTAATAATACAAGTCATACCTCACAGTTGTGGCTACAGAAAACCATCCTGTTTCTTTCCTTTTCAGACAAGCATCACATAGTTCTCATAATGTGGCTGTCTGATTAAGTTATGCAAAGCAGATGCCATGCACACTCCTTGAGCGTTTCTTCCCATACCAGAAACGCCAACTTTAGCAATGGGAAACAGCCTCTTGTAGAGAGGAATTGTGTCAGCTTTTATTACAAATGTCATAGCTACTACATGTGCTCCTTCTGATGGATAAGCTACAGCAGGTCAACTTGTACTAAATTCGTTTTATATCACATGGTGAATAAATCACTGGACAGCACACCTTGAAACAGATCTTGGTACAGAGGCCTCCATGACTGTAATGACCTGTGCCTTAAAGCCTAACCATTCCACAGATCACAGGAGATAACTGTCATTGCTACTGAGATATTGGCTACTTCACGTTTACATAGTAAATATTTGCAGCATATAACATTACAGATTCATAAACCCATAATTAACTTGTGAGTGTTAATGGACAACTGTGCTTTGCTTTTCGCCTTTAGTGATAAGAAAACTAAAATGAGTCACTCCTCAAAACATGGAACATTTTTTTTAACTTTGCCTACTAAGGAAAAACAACAATATAGCAATTACATGTGGAACCGTAACCTGCGAGAGTAACAGATATTGTGTCAAAAGGTACAGATTGTACCTGGACCTTAAGCAGCATCATCACCTTAATCTCACAAAATAACACAAACAGGAAATTTAAACTGTTAAAGGATATTAAAACAAACCTGAAAATGCCACTACTGAATATACACCCTTCAGGGAAGGAGGAAAGCAACACTTAGAATCTGAAGTTTGTTTACAACAATATAAAATAAGGTAATTCCCCAAATCACATCTTTGTAACAAATCTTTACAGTGAAAAAGTTCAAAATTTTGGGAAACTTTTTTTGGACATTGAGAAGAACTGGGAAGCTGTTGATATTAAGAAGTGGGTAGAAAATGCTGTCCTTTGGGTTCCAGACCCTGCCTGCTTCAGTTTGGAATTCCTCCTAGATTCCTAGTACAGTGAGATTCTGGTTCCTCCACAGGCTGATGGGCTCTGCTATAAAAGACACTACCCAGCCAACTCTGGAGTGAAAGCATACGAAACTTGTCCCCGGTACCATGAAGTCATGCAAGAGATGTGGTGAGGAAAGTGAAGAGTCCTACAGAGAAGGTAGGGCAGCCAAGGCCTCTGCTCCTTCCCAATCTCCACAGAAGGATGAAGTCACGACATTCCCATGAAGCTGGAAAAATGAAAATGATGTCTGCTGCCTAAATCCATGCCAGGCAGAAACCAGAAGGCTTGGCATGTACCCCAACCTGACAGAAAAGTCAATTAAATAAGCTGCAAGTTGAATTTACAACTGTTTCCGACGAAACTTTTTTGGCTCTCATTCCATTTATCATCAGTGGCACGATTTCAAGTGAAGTTTGTGCAAAAAGACTCACTCTCCATCCAACAATGTGCACAGAAGAAGGGAATCTCAAGAGTCTTATTTGCTACCTTCTCGGTAGGCTCTGAGATCAGAGTGCCTGGCCCTCTGGCAGCCAAAACGGCCTCTTTGTCCAACGTCCATCACATCCCCTCTGCTCAGATCCCTGAAGTCAGTCGGTGTCACGTGCATTCGGCATGCTAGGTTTATTTATTTAAAAATGCAAAGTCCTTCCTGCAGGCACCCCAGGATTGTGCCTGCATTAGTTCTGGGTGCCCAGGTTCATGTTGAGCAGCAGAGCGCAATCTGCTGTACCTTGCCCAGGTCCGTCAGCAGCTGCTTAATGCAATGCTTGAGCTGAGGAAGCCTGGCCAGCGGCTGCGGGGGCTCCAGTTCCCCGGTGTAGTCCAGCCAGCTCTCCAACACTGTAGGCAGAAGAGAGAGAGAAGACCCAGTGAGTTCCCAACACTTGATGTGCAAGACTCTCAACAAAAATTTTAGCACCATATCCCATCTGACTGCTCATGAGGGGCTGGGAAGGGAAGGCCAGTTCAGGAAACAAGGCCAGTTCATCATCCTCTCTACAAATTACTCCTGGGGTAAAACTCAAATGCTTTAGAGCAGGAGAGTCCAACCAAACTTTCTGCGATGATGGAAATGGTCTATGTTTGTGTTGTTTCAGAGTAGCCACCGGCCATATGTAGCTGCTGAGCACTTAAAAATGTGGCTAGTGCAAATGAGGAACTAATTTAAGTTTTATTCAATTTTAATTAAACAGCCACACATAGCAAGTCTATTACTGCAGCAGTGCAACGCTAGTCTAGAAGGCTTTCTGAAGCAACATATAGCCTCACACATAATCCTTTCCCCTCCTCAAAACCAGCCCTCTGCCTTCCATCCCACCTTTCTAAATGCTTTGTTTCCTGCAAGTTACTTCTTAG